GCAAATCATGCAAGAAGAAAGAAAACAGAATAGGAGAAAGGACAGCGCCTTGAGGGACACCAGCCTCAGTAAGCAAAGAAGTGGACGACTTTCCCTGACATACAGTGTACTGCTTTCTTCCTGAGAAATAAGAATGCAGCCATTTGACAACCCAACAGTTAGTTTGAGTTTCAGCAAGCTTGTTTAACAAAATGCAATCTAGGAAGGTGCAGCGAACAAATGTAGGCCCCTTGTCTAAGCTGGAGACAATGTTATGATACAATACTGCAACTGCATCTAAAGTACTTCTACTGTGTTTATAGGCGAATGGTTTGGGATTGTTAAAGGCTTTAAGTGAAGGTTGAAGATTAATTAAGAGTAACTTTTCCATAGTTTTTAGAAAAGGAGAGGTAATAGCAATAGGTCTTAGGTATATGTACAATTTTAATGTCCTTCCAAACGGCTGGCACAACATTTCTGGAAAAAGATTCATTAAATATGTCCATGAGAGGATAACACAGGATATCTGCACACTTTTTAACAATAACACTAGGCAAACCATCTGGACCTAGGCTACAAGAAGGGTTCATAGACTGAATACATTTTATGAGATCAAGATCGTTGACCATGCTAAGCCAACTGGACCGGAATACAACAGATTGTCAACTTCCATCCCACGATCTAAAGATCATATTTTAGTGTTAGTTAAGTTATATAGTATTGACAACTAGGATCACATATACTTTATATGACTAATCTTCTCATGCTGTATTGATTCTTTTCTATTTAGATCATCGGATGTGAATAATACCAACAGTGAACAACACACTGAAACTACCTCACTCTTACATTATTACTATTATTATTATTCATGGGCAAAACAATAACAGAAGAGCCTTTATTTCAGAAAAAACGAAAATTCAAATTCCCTGACGGATTTAATTTAAACAAACAATTCTCAAATCCAAAAGAAGACGATTACTTTGTAATCGGTCCATCTGATGGAAAATTCACACATCCTATCGCTTATAGAAACAGTCAGAAACGTAATGCCCGTAGTGTTTCACCCAAGCGAAAAGAGAACTCTGATAAAACGTTAAAAAAGTCAACACAGACAACAGCGAACCAACACGATTATAGGCCACAAACTGTTCACAGAACTCGAATAGACGAAGCCATCCAGACAGATGGAACACATAAAGCTTTAGAAGCAGAAATACGACGTATACGAAATGAAATTGATAATAGAAAAAGACTATTACGTGAAAAAGAGGAGATAAAACACAATAGGAAGCAAGTAAAAACAACTGAGAATGAACCACTACAACTCAATCGCAAAGTTGATACGCAGTGCTCTAAACCAGTAGGCGTTAACCAGCATTCAGTTAATATCTGTGTTCCAGATGCTCCACGTCAAGATAGGAGTATTAAAACTCCACTTCAAGAGTATGGACAAGAAAAAAATCAAAAGTTAGCAATTCCTAAAGTTACAAAATACGCCATTGAAAACGCTCGTATCTCTGAGTATCAGAGTGCATTTAAAGCACCACAAATGAATTACCGACTAGATTCAACAAAATTTATTCGACCATCAACATCAGCATCATGTAAACCGGATAAATTTCAAGGTCGTAAAATTCCTTACGATACAGAATACAGACATGAGTACAAGCCCTTTAAATATGTTCCAATAGACCAATTAAAATCAACTGGAATAATAAGAGATGAGAAAAATGTGAATATTATTCCATTAAGACGTCCAGTATCAGCCTATGGATTTAGAGAGATAAAAGACACTGATGGCGATGCAAATAAGCGAAGAATTCGAGCATTGACTCCACCTTCAAAAATACCAAAAAAGGCTAACCACAACAATATTAGTGAATACAATGCAAAATATCTTAATTATGCAGATTTATTAAGTAGTACTCAGCCTAATCGATCAGCATCAACAACAGAGAACAACAGCAACTTACCGTACAACTGGTACCGAGAATTAGTAGGGTTACGCGAAAAAGCTGATCAATATCGAAAACGTGATAGAGAATCTCACTTTTCACGTGAACACTTGGCCCAACTAGAATCAGATTCAGTCAGTTACTGGGATCCACCAAGCGAAGAAAGTTATATGCAAAATATTGAAAAATACAAAGAAAGTCTACAAATGCCAAGAGCTGGAAAACCATCTACAGACTTGGTTTCTGATCCGTACAACGAACCATTAGCTAGTCAGAGGAGAAGAGCAATGCTAGACAGTTATAATGTTGCACAGATAATGGATCAAGAGGATTGTTCTGATACAGAAGACGAACAAAATCCACAGTACCATCATCATTGCCAACCGGCATACACACATCCATGCTCAGAATATAGACATTATGATGTTAATTGTCCACGAGACAACAACTATGTAGGCATGTTACCAGGTAATACGAAATATACTCAAGAAAATGAATTACAACACTACAACTCAGATTGTAGCTTAAAGTCAGAGAATGATCCACCTCGAACAAGTTTAGAAGGCGACTGTAGAGCATGTAATCCATGCAGTAATAATAAATGGGCAGACTATCAAGATTATCATCATCACCATCAGGTGGGAGAGAGAACTCGAAATTCATGCCCAAGAAAGCAAAGATCACTAGATGAAACTGAATCGCTAACTAGTTGTAGTTCACTTTCAGAAAAATCTATGGAATTAAGTTCACGCTTAGCTAGTGAAACTCTTGAACGAGCTCAAAGACAACATGAACGTGTCCTGCGTGAACAAAAGTTATACAATGAAAATGTATACTCTCCAACTGCCTATTCTAACTGCAAATCTGTACAATAATAATAATAACAATAATAATAGCCGGTCGCACTATATGCTTTTTAACTGCACAAAATGTTTTATATAATATATATATTCATAAATATATATATGAATAATATTTGTGTCCAACAGTGAACTTCTTACAGAGGCGACTATCTAGCGCATTGTGGACTTCATGAAGACCTTGATCGCCGACTAGTAACCTTATAGATGAAGAGTCTAGACCCCCAAAATGGCTTCACTTTGATTCATATGGGTTAATGTTAACATTAGATGACATCGATATAAAAAGCAAAGATATTAACAAAGACTTTGGTTCCAGCTAGAACATATGGCTTTAACAGCATATACTCAGTGCATTCCGTCTTCCGGAGTCCTCTTTTAGCTGACTCCACGATCGCCCTTAGGCAATCCTCCGCTCTTCACATGATCTTCTCCTACATATCACCCCCGGACACACGCCCAACTCGTCGTTTGCCATTCACCTTCCACTCGAGAGATGGCCTGACGCGAGATGTTACCCAACAGTCAGTCTCTTCATATTCAACTATAGCATGTCTTAAACACCCATAAGATTCATTTCAGATACTACCGAATATCTGATAAGAAAAATCACTGGTATTAAATGCTTGGAGGCAATCAGCAGGAAGCCTTCGACCTAGGTTTTATACTAATTGGCACCCACCCACCAGTCAGCAAGGCATATCTGCAACCTCCTTGAAGGAACTTATGACTCTTCTGAGATCCGAACTCACGATATCCAGTGGTGCACTCAGAGATGTTACCACTGAACTATTCGGGACCGTGACTGACCTCCTAGAGGACTGACAAAGTGCAGTCTTCTGAACACCTTCAGCTGCAATCTTCGTATGTTTGGCATGCGATTCGCCCCTGTGAAATGTAAGATGCTGCTACAGGACTGGACTACGTCTACCCCTAGCTTAGAGATAGGGAGTGAATTGATAGAACATGTTGACCACTTCACCTATTTGGGAAGTTGTATCAGCACCTACGGACTGATTGGCGACGAAATCTCAGCATGGATCCAAAAAGCTCGGGCTGCTTTCGCTAACTTACACCGTCTCTGGCGTAGGCGTGACATCCGGCTATCAACCAAGGGACGTGTGTACTGCTCAGCAGTTAGCTCCGTCCTTCTCTATGGCTCTGAAACATGGCCAATACGAGTTGAGGACATGAAAAGATTGTCTGTTTTTGACCACAGATGTTCACGATCTCTTTCTCACGTTAGGTGGTATAATAAGGTAAGTAATGTTGACGTTAGGCGTAGAGTGTTGGACAAAGAGGGAAAATCAATCGAAGAGGCTATAAAGTTACATAGATTGAGATGGTTAGGTCACGTGCTGCGTATGCCTAACCATCGACTCCCCCGACAGGCATTACTAGCTGATATAGGTGCAGGTTGGAAAAGAGTAAGTGGTGGCCAAACAAAAACATGGCATCAGTCCATGAAATCCTTGACAGTTAAACTGATTCAGTCAGGTAGGGAGATGCAGACTTCCGGGTTGGGGCCCTCGGGACTCTAAGAATCAATGGCTGGAGACAATAGGTGACATGGCTCAAAATCGTTGTCAATGGCTTACGCAGATGTATTCAGTCTCTGTAATCTTTCATATTCCTTTCTACCAATTCTCATTCTGTTTCACTCTTATACTTGTCAAAACTCTACTGATTCTCTTCACTCATCTTCTTGTCTACCTTTGTGTGCTCTTTGGAACGTGGCAACTCGAACTGCTGCACATCGGTGCCAAGTTCTGTGTTGAATCCAGCCAGCCAGCCAGAGGACTACTGTATTAGATACCTTGATTAGACACACTAGTGTTGTAATGTGTCTAATCTTTTGTTTGACGCAGACTGAATTCCACCAGTCAAGTTTGCAATATGGCCACCATACTAGGTGGCTAGCCATCACGGTGCACTTTGAATTGTTGATATCAGATGTTGGGGGGCAATCGGCAAGCAGCGTGTGACCCAGGTTTCATGCTAGTTAGCACTCACCAGTCAGCAAGGCGTATCTGCAGCCTCCTTGAACGCATGTCACTGATAGAGTTCAGACTACATCAAACAAAGGATTAGACACACACACACACACACATTACACTAGTTACTGACTAGTGTCCAATCAAAGATAAATCACTGTGGAAATAACACTAATACATTAAATATATCTTGATATTTGTTGATAATAAGTCATAAAGTGTAGGCAAACAAAGGAATAGTCCAGCATATATATATATAAGAGATACAAGGTAAATAAAAGTAAGAAAACAACAATGGTGAATACAATCCAAGTATAATAAGTAATCACAAAAATTTAAAATTCAGTTTACATGATTCTCATGATTTAAGGGGATATCAATTGAAAGAAAATGAAATAGAAGGAAGGAAAATTCAATTTACAAAAGTGATGAGGGAGGAAAACAATGGGAAAAAAATTAAATGTTTAAATACATACACACAGTTTTCAGGGGGATAGGGTGTGCGTGGGCGTAGGGTGTGTTTGGGGGGGTATACAAGAGAGTAGCAAGTCAGTCAACAAAATTTAAATAGTATGATCACCGGCCAATTAAACTGTATAGGAGATAAATGTTAAAAGGACTAGAGTAGTAGTACGTATTAATAAAAAGGGAAATATTACCCTTCCAATCATAGAAAAAAAACAACAACCCCCAGAAAGTCTTTATCAAAGATTATTCATCAAATGAATACACAACCAAACCGAACCAAACCAAACGGTCGTAATTATTTCTACAAGCAACACACTTGAATTACACAAAGTAGCTTTAAATATACATAAAGTGTACATAAATGTGACTAGAATTCATTTTCTAAAAAAACAAAAGAGAAAGCTTAGATTTAGGAAATCAGACACTTGATTTTCATTTCTACGAAACAGTGTGGAACAGCTGCAACACACGCCAAACGAAACCTCTTTTAACAACAACAATAACACCACCAAGAGGAAAAATGCTAATTTGAATATTTTTAAGAATTAATACACAGAAATCGGCGCCAACCCTTTTTATTCAGCGTTTTACACTTGTTGGTATTCTCTGTTGTGGTGACGACGCTAGACAGGCGATGATTAACCCCTACATGATTACTATTATTATTATTACTGAGAGCACGATTATGAACAGAAGTTTTTGTACAGTTGCCATTATGCGGTAATGCTTCCTTTGACTTTAATTCAGATGGCAGCAGTGGACCACCAGAATCAGCTACTTTTAAACCACACCAAATAGCCAGATCGAAAACAGTTTTAAGATTCTTTTGAGTTAGTGCAGAACACTCCACATAGGCTTCAGCGCCTAATTCAACAGCTAAACACTCAGCTTTCTCTTTATCGACTGGTTCTTCGCCTATCTTCGACAGTTCTAATAAACGTCCAATATCATTGCGTAGATCACAAGCACAACCTATAAGGAGAAATGTAGGACCTGGTATTAAATTAGTAGTGGCAGTTTCAGGTGCGCTTTTTAATCCACGATTAGGGCATATAGAGGATTTTGATTTGACGAGTAATGCTGGTAGACAGTGATCAAGACTTCTTTTGGTATTTGACGATGACGAAGTAGCATTAGTTGTTGCTGTTTTAGTAGTAGTAGTAGTAGGTATACCGAATAATTTTGCTGCAGTTTGTTCAGCGGCGCTGTTAAGAATGATAGGTGCAGAAGCCAATTCTTTTAACCAGACAGTTTTCAAGGATCTGAAAGACTCTGGTCGAACAACAGAAAAGCATAGTAGAATAACATGTGCATCCAAATATGACAGATGTCTTAACGATGCAACTTCTTCCTAGAACAGATTAAAAAGAAAGATGGATAAATCAGAGTTAGTGTTTAACATTTATCACAAAATTCATTTTAATTAATTAAAGTTTTAATCATCAGTGAATTCATGAGGAAAATTATCTTTTACTAAATTTAAGCTTTCCAATTGACTTCACTAAATTAGTTGTATTTTTTGTCAGAATGCATGTAATGAACTAGTGAAACACGTTATACAGTAAGTACATAAAAGTGTATGAAGTGTTCTGTTTTAAACACACAGTTCAGTTCACCACCTATCTGATACATGAATACACATAAACCAACTGAAATAGTAGAAATCAATTCCTGTTAAATATATACAAAGGTCAGTATGTCATTTAAGCGTTGAGGACCAAAATTACGGAAGTAAGAGAGGACGTTAACAATTTGAAATACAAAACAACTGTGTATCAGATGAACAGGCACAGTGAAATCAGTCGAGAACAAGACAACAATTAAAAATATAGAAGTTGTGATAGGGAAAAAAATGTTAGGTATTTACATCGTTATGAATTCATATCATTTCGCTGTCTGACTCTTGATAATTAATCTGTTCCTCATAAGTGACTGCCTACAGGACGAAGTTAAATGGAGTTCCAGTGATGAGAAGTCGTGACCAGTGGAGTCCGACTGGTGGGGAGTGAGGACAGATACTCGCCAGCAATGACACTGGCTGATGCAAGTCACGCTAAAATCAAGAATTGGTAGAAGTTAGAATTCATGGGCTAACCATTGAGTTGGGTGCCAGTGACTGAATGGTCTACGAGCTCGCCTTGTAAGCGGAAGGTTTTGGGTCCTAACCCCAGTAGATGAGTACTGATGATGAGTCCCAAACTAGGACGAAACAGCTATCCAATACTCTCTGTTGGCTTTCAGTGGCTCTCTAACTAATATCAACAGGTTATCTGACTTGAGACAAATCAAATCCCTACAAACGAACTCTTGAAAACAGGAATTCTATCTACGAAAGCTGTTAATTTAAATAGAACTGAGCTTAATAGTTACGTACTTAATGGTTCAGTGTCACGCCTGTAAAAGACAATTTGTTATGGAGACATGTGAACAGAAGATATAATGAGAAACTTGCTCACAACAACTATTAAATATAGTCAATTCAAGAGTGTAGCAGTGCGGTGGTTCCGGTACCAAATACTGAGAAATCACAAAGTGAATGACATCCAACCAAGCTTTCTTTATCGGACTGTCTTTTAGTGGATACAATCAGAATGACGAATAACTAGATGGAAATATATTTAGATTCAAATATCTTTAAACTATATACCACAACGCGATGGTTGAGTCACATACTACTTTTTTAAAGCATATGATTTGATGACAACTTGACTAAAATATTTTACAGAAACAGGTAATCTACAAATTATAAGGCAATACTCTAGAAATTATCAAATGCCAGAGTCAGATATGAACTTTAGTCATAGTACATGTGAAACTATTGGCAATAATTCAGTAATCATGGGCTTTGTGAAAATAATTCACGTTTATTGTGTAAGTAATTAAACTACCAGATTATGATTTTGCCTAGATTAGAATGAATAAAAGAAAATCTCTAACTGTAAAGTGGACTTCGAAATTTACTAAATAACATGACTATAGTGCCCTACAAAATACACATGAAAGCTTATAAAGAATGTGATAATTAATTATGTAATACGAAATCATTCAAAAAGTACATGAGAAATGAGATATGACTGCCATTTGAATGAGAATAACCCATAAACCAAATAAAAGATGATGTTACAGGACTGGACTACACTGACTCCTAGTTTAGAAATAGGGAGTGAAGTGGTTGGTGGAGCATGTTGACCACTTCACTTATTTGGAAAGTCGCATCAGCCAACGCCAACGGGTTGATCGCTGACGAAATATCAGTTTGGATACATAGGGCTAGTTTCGCATATGCCAGTTTATGCTGTCTCTGGCGTAGACGTGACATCCGGCTATCGACCAAACGGCGGGTGTACTGCTCAGGAGTCCTCTCCGTCCTTCTTTGTGGCTGTGAGATCTGGCCATTGAGAGTAGAAGACATGAAAAGACCGACTAACTGTCTTTGATCATAGGTGCCTGAGTTCTATCTCCCGTGTGAAGTGGTATAATAGGGTGAGCAATATTGAGTGCTAGGTAAGGAGGGAAAATCAATGGACTGAGATGGTTAGGACATGTGTTACGTATGCTCAGCCATCGCCTTCTTGGACAGAGGGCAATGTTAGCTGACATAGGGTTAGTTGGAAAAGATCTAGCGGCGGTCAAACGAAAACATGGCACCAGTCAATGAAATCTACAACAGTTAGTTTAAGCCACGTAGGAAGGTGTAGACTTCCAGACTAGTTGGGGTCCTCGGGACGGTAAAAACCAATGGTTGGAAACAATTGGTGACATGGCTCAAAATCGTTATCAATGGCGCAGATGCATCCACTTCTTGTGACTTATAATTTCCAATGAAACTAGATTGTTCTTTGTTATTACTATTCCTTTGTCTCATCGGTGCAAAGTTCCAGGTCGAAAACAGACAGACAGACATAAACCAGTTAAGTGTCTATTCGCCTCCTTCTTAAAGCAAATACTGCAACAATGGTTTCAAATGATACCGACTAAACATGAATACGAACATACACTCGAAGATAAGGCAGTTAAAGCATATCTAAATTATTTCACAGGGGTTATTTGTGTGTTTTTGGTTATTCAAGTTGTATGTAACTGACGTAGACGTCATAAATTAAAGTGAATTCATCTTATTCTTCAAAAGTTGCTTTCGTTGCGTTATTCACAGTGCAGCTTGTTTAAACTATTCTGAGGTCTGAGAACGAAATCCTACTGCTAGAGGATGTGGGTGTAACAGCAATAAGGTGTTTCCCTTGGATCAGCACGTCAGCGGCTATGTTCCCTTTCACCTCTGAGGAGTAGTCAAAAAAGGTCAGCCCCAAAAATTATACATCACGACTTAGCTTACAGTGATTCTTAATCAGCTGTAAGGTTTAATGTGAGGACGAAACAGGTCATATTTGACAGGCTTCGAGCAGTTGTTCACTGCGCTTTGTGAAGAAGACATTAACTTTCACGGTGTAGACAGTCGAGAAGTAGCAGCAGCTCACATACGCCCATAAGAACACACATCTCTTCTTTTCACCAACCACCATCGTTTTGCTTTCCTTCCACTGTTATTACAGCTGAGCTCCATCTAACTCTGTGATCATTACTAGCGCAGAGGGCTAGTTACAGGACAAATAGTTTAACTTAATTTGTAATGGTGGTAAATTTCAATTAGCTTAGGTGTAAACAAAGTATGCTTTTAAACCACATTTATTGGATTTTTTAAAACTTTCGCGGTAGCAATTTGACATAAGCGTTCGTAGTCATATTGTATTTCTATTGTAGTATCATAAAATATTCTGTTGGTTAGATTCTATTTCATGAACTGGAGCATAACCACATTAATGTTTTGTTTTTATACAGTGTAGTATGTATTATTAGAACAAAAAAAGAATATGGACTAACAATGAATTGTTTAAAGCTTCCGAAAGTTGTATTTATGAATATGGATTACTCAGAAACTTCCTCTTATGCATATTATTCAGCAAATTTAAACACAGTATATATATATATATTATTATTATTATTGTTTCCTTTAATTCCTAGAGAAACATAGGGCTTCAGCCGTGCGTCTCCATTGCGTTCGGTTCTCTGCTAGGGTCTTCACCTGGCTCCATGTCCGCCCACACGTTTTCATCTCCTCTTCACAAGACCTCCTCCAAGTCACCCTTGCACTGACGACCAACTCGCCGCTTCCCATTCGGCCTCCACTCGAGCAATGGCTTGTCTAGTGATGTCACTTGATGGTTTGTTTCCTCAGAGTATGGCCAGCCAATCCATCTCGATTTCTTCCTGCCTATTTGTTGCACAATCGGTTCCTGGTTGGTTCGATCCCAAAGATCCTACCCTGTTGCTGATCTCTTCTGGCCGGCCATCTGATCTTGAGCGAAGACAACTGTTAATGAAGGTCTGCAGTTTGTTTGAGGTGATCCTTATGACGCGCTAATTCTCTGATCCGTATAGTAGCACTGACTTCACATTGGAGTTGAAAATCCGGATCTTATTTTTGATGCTGAGTGCTGTTGACCTCCACACAGACTTGAGAGTAGTGAAAGCTTGTCTTGCTTTTAAGATCCTTGCTTTGATATCCTCGTCAGTTCCGCCTGTAGTTGAAACGATGCTTCCCAGGTAGGTAAAAGAGGTTGTTTCTTTCAGGTTCCTCCCATTTATGCTGATTGTTGTCTGTTGTTGTTGTTGCTGTTGGTGGTGTTGCCCAGGAATTTTCATCACCTCTGAAGTCCTATATATATATATATATATATATATATATATATATATAGTGACACTGAAGTAACTTTAAATGCATCACTCAGAATGTACATAATATATGTGTTTAGACCGAAACTGAGAACGCTTAAAAATAACGAAACTTTGTGTCTTGAATATTTTAATTTACACTTCAGTAATTCGATGCTACCTTACACTTCTTGAAACATTTCTATACAACTACGAGGCTAATTACCTAAACAGGAAGGATTTATAATTCTGAGAAGAAAACTATTTAATTCTATACCACGTATAATTTCAAGCTTAATGAGGAGCAGGGAAAAAGTTGAAAGCTACTCTTAAAACAATGGCATAGACTTACTTTCCCACCAGCATCACAAATTTGTAAATGAACAGGACGTGTATCAGCACAGACTTCGACTGAAAAGAAAAAGAATGAAAATGATATTTAACTCAATAATCACCAATACGATGGTTGTTTAAGACATAAAAAACACAGTGGTCTAATGCAATCGCCCGAATTACTAGTGAGAATATTCGGTATGCTTCAGTCAGGCGCCTCTACAAGACTGATTTAACTATTCGCCCAATTTTTCAATGCTGTAGATGAATAAGGACAAATATTAACATAAAACCTAGCACTACTGAGTGATGCTTCAAGCTGTAATACATCATGTCTGTACACTAAATAAGAGAACGAGAGACGAAGAAATGTAAACGGTTTAACTAAATGAATAAAAGTGGTAACTGTTAGACTAAAGTAATTTGTAAGCTTAAATAAATATCTCCCGTTAATGCTGCTTACTGTGACTAATAAGATGAAGCTCAGATTTTTCTAAATTTATGTGACAGTTGGACAAAAATGACAGATACATCTATGAAACAGATTTAAATCTGTTAAAAAAAAGGCACATTTATGATACTACAGTAATTAGAATCAGTTGCAGGATAATCGGAAGCCCTTTACCACTGATGCTCCACTACTTATTAATGGAGTTTTATAACAGCAAAACAGCCAAGTGGTCCGAAATTACAGGGAAATCAACAAAATCATTGACAAACCGAGCATGTAAAATATACATCAAAAAGTCTACAACATGCCGCTTCATATAGATACTATACATACACGTACTCATTCTTTACCATGTCAGAGATATTGATAATTATCATTTTATGAACTCATTCCAAATCTCCTTTGTCGATTCGTCCCGTTATTTGAAGTTTACTTTTGTCGGCAAAAACCTGTAGCCTTACTTACATACTTTTCATACTTTACGTCTAGACCACACACAACTTGTCAAAATATCGGCCATTACAAAGGGTGCTCAGAACTAAATCGCCACGTAATTCAACCCGGCGATTAAATAGCAACTCACATGGCTTATAACCCAGTATGCAGTAGAAACTCGCCATTTAAATATCTGACTTATTTAAGGAGTTCGGTAAAACGTACACAGTGATTCTTTGGTATATCCCGAATACTATGAAAATGGTGACGGTTACACACCATTTACAGGTTGTAAGGGACATTAAGCAATTCTCAGCAATACAGTCAGCTTATTAGTATGCGAATACGTAATATTAGCTGATATGAATCAAATGGTTGAATATCACAACTCTAGTATGTCATAAAATCGATCATCTAGGCTTTTCTACCAGTCAATGATGAGACGGTTATGGAAGTACAATTTTAAAGCAAATCACTTTAGTTGTTGGAAAAATGAGTTTTTTAAACACCATGTGTTTGCTTTTAGAGTTAAATAGAGAATATACAAAGACCACTATCAATAAGAAACAATAAATTTGCCAGAAAATGTTATGATAGTAACCAAGTCCGTTAGCACCGCACTGACCAAAATTAGCTCGAAATATAACTGTTTTGAGTGTGACTAAAAACTATTTCGAGGGTTAATAATGCGAAATTCTTCGGATCGATTACAACTAAATCTTACACTGACAATGATACAATCATCCTTTCCTTTGGACAGCCGATATTTCTGGCTAGTTCAATGTTTCTAGTTGGTCTTTTTAGTTAAAATGCTAAACTGATTCGCTCGATATTTTTCCATCATTATTGGAAGAAAGTTATTAGAAAGTAATTCGCTATTTCATGCTAACAGCCAGTATACTACGGTTTGAAATGAGAACAAGTATGAGAGTAAGACACTCGCTTCATAGAGGAACAATGACAAAGTCATTTAACCAGGTGAGAAATAGTCTACTATCTGTTATCAGAGCTGGAAGAACAAATTCGTCATTCACATCCAGCGTTACGAACTCTTCAAGAATAGGAAATTCCCTCCCCCACGTTTTTACTCTCTATTCGCATTCAATTCGCCTGTTACAGTAATATTGTCTGTTCAATTACTCACTACCTACAGATCTAAATAATGACACGTTGGACTACTTCATCGAAAATGAAAGAATGAAGTATTGTTCAGTAATCACTCGATTTTCCATGCCGTTGACGACAAGCCATACATATTATATTATGGACAGTAATACTATCTGGCTGCTCAAATCTCGATAAGTAGAACGGGGTATGAACTCCTGACCCAGTGATTGGGAGATACCCACCGAGACCAATGAGCTACAGCTTCACAATTAATGCATTGCTATGCAAGCAAGATTTTGTGTTTGACTGTCAGCAGAAAACGATGCTAAAGTCCCCAAGCATTTCTGTTTGTTTGTATCCCAGTAGGCCGACAAAAAACGTGGTGTAGTTTCTGCCTTATCTCCCATTATACATAACTAAGATAGTCAGTTTATATTGTGAGCATCATGGAGAAAATGTACAGTGGATATGTGACCAGTATATTAAAATCACCTTATATATATTGAAACAAGCCGAGCAACAAGAAGCATAGAACGGCATTCTCATACCACAACATTTCGATTGCCTACTGAGACAAGAAAGCTGCGGCAGGATGTAAGAAAACAGCTACTGATTTTTCATCAAAGGAGCATTTAAATTAGACAGAGCAATACTACAAACAACAGTGAGGATAAGCGCAGCCTTAAGTAAGGATTGTGAGTCGAGGTTCTCACTTACTATTTTCCTTTGACGCGCCCGTGAGTTGTGCTACACATCTGAAACATGCTTTGCTCAACGCTGGCATGAATCAATTAAGATCCTAAGAATCAAAGCCAAATAACTGGTCTTCTAGACGTCTTAGGTGATTGTGTATGACATGTTCAGCAGTTGCTGACTAATCGAGGGATTTTCATGCATCTAAAAAAATGAATTACTTTGATGTCAGTCCCACTGGGAACATTGTCACTCACTGAGATGCAGGACCATCCTGCTGACAGGTTCAAAATAAGAGGAAGAGCCCATGTTTGAATACCTTAGCGTGCAACCACTAACTGAAAAACATACGGTACTCAGATAGATAACCTGCATGTAGAGGACTTGTACTGTCAAATTATTAATAATCAGGAAATTTCGTAGTTATTTTAAATGAAGTTACAGATTAAAGTTAATTTTCAACCATATAACGTAGGTCGGTATATTCCTTATTAATTCATGTGCAATTATTTATTCGTACGCTATAAATACGAAGAAAATAGAAAATCAGAACCATATAGTCTAAAAAATAACTGGCGCAATTTACATAAAGCAATAATCAGTTTATACCTAACACATGATATGCCGTATTTATGAGTTTAACAACAATGTGGTTGACTTACCACAATAGGTATCCAAAGCAGATGGTTTATATTCAGCTGGATAATCATTAGAAGTGTAACTGACGACAAGACTGGTTTTCCCCACCTGCCTGTCACCTATGAGAATACATTTCACCGTAGTGGGCTTTACATGACCAGAGGAATTAACAGATTGGTGAGGATTAACTTCACTGATACGCGGTAAATGAGGTGAGCACCCGCCATCAGGAGGCCTCATCATAACATGTTAGTATCAGTAGTTTTTCCGCCACATATGAACTCTCTTAACTCATTTATACTCGGAATTCCGTAAATAACCTTGCAATCACAATAAAAATCCGACAGAACCGCCAGTTCCGAGTAAGTCATAGTTGCACATTCTTACCTTGAACGATACAAACAAGATCAGATTTAAGATTCAATTATTTAGTGTGAACAAACGGGAACAGAAACTAATGGTAATACGTATAGTTAGACACCTATAGTTGCCTAGTTTTTTCTTGAATGTATCAAGCAGGACTCAAGCATAATGGAAAGAGGTTCCAAAAATTTCAGGAAAGTAGGGCTCACAGATTCAGATTATAAGGATAGAAGGCTCTTATTGCTTATGTTAATCCTTGCGATATATATCTCTGCAGAGATCTATTTTCTTTTTGAAAGCGTTCACTGATGGAGCTGTTACAACTGAGTCAGGTAAGGAGTTCCGGTCGTTGACCACTCTGTGAGAGAATCTAGATTCCACACGTATTTTTTGCGAACTCGGTTTGAGCACCTTCAAGTGATGACCTCGTAAATTTGTCTTAGAAGGAGAGAAGAGGTTTAAAAGGTCAATATCTAAATCGCCTTTGAATATACGGTAAGCCAAAATGAAATCACCTCTCCTTCTACAGTATGATAATGGGAAGAGACTTAAATGCTCCTTCCTCATTTCATCAGGAAGGTATGATATACCACTAACTAATTTCGTTCCTACCCTCTGTGCTCTTTCCGGGATATGTGCCTCCTTTTTGAAGTATAGACTTTCTGCTTGCATGCAGTATTCTAGGTGAGGTCTGACATGCTGCGCAGAGTACTTGGATTTTTCCCTCATCTAATCGTTTGAAAGCCCTTCGAAGTGCCCATAGCATTCGAAAAGTCTTATCGACTACAATTTGTCGTTGTTTTTAAGTCACGGTTTACAATAATTCCTAGGCCCTTTTGTCCCCTAACACCTGGCAGTTCTGTGTCCCCCAGGCTGTGTGTAAGGCTTCTGACATAGGTGCATTACCGCGCTTTTCTTGAAATTAATTTCAAGACTCCTACGGTTAGCCCATCCAGCTAATTTATCTAGATCGTTTGGTAGCACCAGCCCATCATCGTTACTATTTACGGTTTTCCACATCTCAATAACGTCAGCAAATAAATAGTCAGTGACCGTTATTCATGCTGCCAACAATGACTTTCAAAACTGGTCCTCCGAGAGCTTCCGTTGCAGTGGCCAACCGTGTGTTGTCGTGAAATACCGGCGCCCCAGCACTGTAAAAATCTTTCTTTGGATGATGGCCTGACGAAGGAAGCCAGGAAGCAAAGTTCGTAGAGATATTGAATAAATCTAAATGAAGGCCAGTTTGAACAATTACCATTCGATTCAGTGAAGGCAACATATAGTCTCAGAGAAGCTTAAAGAACTTGGCGAATGTGTTGCGTGCTCAGGATCTCAAATATAAAGAAAAAGTAGAGCAGAAGCTGGTTGGTGATAATCAGGAAGCCTTGAACTAGGTTTCAGTCTTTTCGAAACTATTCACCAAGGTGTATCTGTCATTAGGACGCCAGAGTGCAATCCAAGATGTTTATTTCATACCGGTTAAGGTCCGAGGGCTGGATATACTTGCATCCCCTTGTGAGTGGTGGTGTTCCCACTGAGATTCGAACCCAGTGACGACTGACCCAAGTAGGACTAAATGAGCATCCTGGATTACACTAATGGTAGTCGTCCACCAAAGCGCTTCAAGCTAATCCTTCGATATTGTCAAAGCCTCCGTAACAGTTGTCAGGCCAACAGAGGTCGAACATTTTGGTCCAATCAACTAACAAGAAAACCAAAAGTGAATTCAAAACAGATAAACTGTTCGATAACTTAGGATGCTCGATAATGAAAGTATTTCATCCGAGTGATGTCTGAAGGGCTTTCATTTTTTTGTGTATATTTATTTACGCGATCCTTAATAGCCTCCTAGTGAGAAGTGCATATCTTGACTCTCCGAGAATTACATTTTTTCATGACGTTAACAAATAATATTTGATCTATATTAAGTCGTCTCGTCCAGATGAGTCCAGGTCTATGGGCATGCATCTTAAAACTTAATCTTTTTCGCAGTCATAGCTTGGGTAGTTTGGAAGTGAAATATCGCATGACACTCTCCACCTTCATCCTGTCACATATACCATCACTGCTAAGCATATATGGGTATCATGTTTAGAAGTAAATCCAGATAGCTGAAAAGGGTCTTCATTGCGATGTGTAACTATTCCGTTCAAATTAGAATCCAGGCAATCCTCTCAGATTTGAAAACTGGCAGGTGGAAAGTGGATACATTTGTTGACAAAAGATTATCAATGTTTCCATAGAAGCAGGTGAATTTGCATGAAATGCGTGCCATTTTTACGGGCATGGCCGTGTAAGATATGAGTTAAAATCCTATGTTTCCATAAACTAGTAATGCTTCGATTGCTTAGATAGTTGAATTATAATTTAGGCAATCGTAAGAGGTCATTAAAATGTCAAATTGTAACGCCGTCACCAGGGTTGTCATCAAGGTTAAGCGGTAACCCAAACTTCGTTTCGTTTTCTTTGGATGTCTGTGGACAACCAGTGAATAACCTACATTCAGGTAAATGCTATGTTCACGCGTGATCGAAAGCTATTTTGGGGAGAAAAGAATGTCCTGTGCATTCGTGAAGTAGGATAGTACACAAGAAGTGATAAATCGGTAAAAATATATTTGCAAGAAAGATGCGAGAAGGAGCTTTACAGTGCTCAGAGCCATTTTGCGTGCCCTTTGAACACCACGTGCTTTCGCTCTCAAACCGGAAAACACCTGTCTCGTGAATTATCTGACCAGAAAACCTGGTCTTCCCAGACGGTAAATCCGACTCAACCAATATTTCCATAATGAATCTCTGTGTGATAAGTCCCGTTGTCTCAAACTACTGCTAAATCTTCAAGCGCTACATCTGTAGCAGCATCTCCCCCACTCGATCAGATAAACGAGACTTGTTGTTCCGCCACGTAATCCCTGTGAAGCCGGATAGCCTGAAAGTTCTAGGTAAAACTAAAAACCTTTTTTCCCCATATTTTATCAGTATTTTGTTTTTGTTCTACTGGGCCATACTGTTGCCATGTTCTGTTCATACTAAAGCGTAATTTATAATAATCGCTGATATGAAGTTTCAGACTAGCCCGAAAAAGAGTGCTAGGACATCATTTTCTTGTCGTGACTAGAGCTTCATCCAGAGGAGGAAATAATCAGGTGATGTTAACACCATCTTGCATATCGGTTCTCAAGACCCATGTACACATCCCCTACTCTGATATTATGCTTGCTTTGCCACAGTCCAGCACTGAGGCTGCACAAGCAAGAAAAAGTGGATACGACACTTCATCTCCACAGGGAGCCAATGTACCATACACACCAGAACTAGAGGGAAACTCTCAAGACGTCATAAGGCCTGGAAAGGGAGTTGACTGACAAGCCTGTAGTGCTCTCATTTGCAAAAGCGACTTAGCACACGAATGCAATTTTTGAAAACGATTGCGACAAGTGAGTGAAAGAACCATACTATGAGTTTATACGAAATGACCCATGCCCATACTAACTTCGTCATCCTGGCACCGCCTCATCCAGCGTTCCGCTTGAAAACACCATATCACTACAACTAACCAAACACTGTGAACGTGTTACTCCAGTCACACCGACTAGCAATATCAATCCAAATAAATCGAAGACGCCTAAATTCACATCCGGTAAGTATTCCACTAGCGAAATTCCTGGAAACACGCTAGTAGGAGCTGCTGGGGATTACAGAATTGCCGAAGAACAAATTGCATCTCCTGGCTAGCATGGAAGCATGATACAGACTGGTCGAACGCATATGTAGTCTAAGGTTGCCGACCTTCTGAAGAATGAAAAGCAGCCAAAGACTAAACCTAAGTTCCAGGTCGGTCGGCCAAGTTGTCTTATCCTGTTTAACGTACCATCGTGCAATGGCTATTTGTTTGAGCAAAGAGCAAAGTTTGTCCAGGAACAGTGGTTTACTTCGTTTGGCAAGTTACAACTTGAAATCAAGTCAGTAAAGTTGTGCAGACTGCACTGAGGTGTTCAGGCACTTCAGGGGTAAGCCGCCTCCAGTAAGGGGCGTTGATATGGAATATCCCCTGTTTGAAGTGGCGGCTCCAGCTTTACCTTGCGGACATTTGCGCGGTCTAGTTGATTTCAGTTTGTTTCGTTTGATCTAGGTAGCTGCATTTGACGTGGTTCTGGTTTCTATTTGGCTTGAACTGCGTTGATTTTGTTAAGAATAGTCGTCAAAAGCTGTCTTTAAGCCTGAAGGCAGTTACCGTGCAAGAGGATGCTTTAGAATGTGTTTCATGTAAAAATTATAGGGTGCACTTAAAATCCTAGGTGTTGACTCCTGTTTGTGGCATCTCAATGATTTCTGCAGAGCTTCGTTTTATCACTTGTGTTCATATTTGTCGTTCACGAGTGTTTCAGTAAATGTTTGTGGCTATAATCAGGAACTTTCCAAAACGGTAATTGTGGAAAGGAATTTATATTTTTCTCCGCTATAGTTTCCAAGCCAACGACTCTTTCAATTTGCTTACTATACTCTGTTGGCTATTCGTGAATTTTTCATTCAAAAGCTTCTGTTTTCATTTACAGTGGTACCGAATGAACGCATTGGCACCTGGAGACAATGGCAACCAACCTGCCCTTCCTATATCTGTGGATATCAAAAAATCTTTTGACGGAATTATGTTTAGTCACCGGTATACCAGTTGGGTTCAAGTAGAAGATGCTCTAAGTCAGCTAGAATCAGTGCGAGATATATGTATGAAAGAGTATTCTTAGGCAACTCATACACATTATGTAACCAAGAAGTGCATATGGAACCATGAATCTCAGGAGTTGAAGTACAATTTAGTAGTCTTTCGTTGTACATATGGCATGAAGCGAAAAACTAGAGGTTCAGGTTTACGCGTCAAACCGTAAGAATTCTATTATTTATTTCTGCAGTGCAAAATACACCGGTTGCCAATCTGGCTTTCGTATACGCTACAAGGAGGACGAGTTTATCATTTCTTCCGCGAAAAGA